AACCCCCACATTATTGAGAACTTGAGATTCCCCCTGAGGGTGCAGATCGATAACAGTGACAATCCTCCATTCATGCTGCATATCTGTTATGTTGGTCATTCACTTAAAGGCTTTTTACAATACATTACAACACGATCATAGTGAGATGCATTGTGGGATTTCACAGGAAGTGAAGGCTGACATCTTCTCAGTGTGAACACATGCCGGTATCAGTGACACCCCAGTCCTCTGACCCATCTGAAGGTTCTGCTCCCAGATTCTTATGCTGTTCTACAGGCCCGATTCATCAAGACAAATAAGACACATACAACTATTAAATGGCATAAATAAATAGCTTTATTATATAAAGCTACATAAATGTATTTATCAGCATGGTTTTTAAACAGGCTTCTTTACATTCATATGTATGCAGGAATACAATGTGCATTGATTAAAGGTTTTAAACCCAATGAAGAGTTCACCTAAAAAGTTATAACATTTCCGATTTAACTGGCAGCATTGAGTGGAACAGAGATGGACACATCAAAAAGGATCTTGTTACAAATACGTGCTCATTAAATGTAACAAAATAAAATACAAACCATTGGTGTGAGGAAATGTATTTAATTAACTAATGTGTAATTTGAAAATACATGCAAAATACAACTGGTACATGACAAATAGATTGTGTGTTTTACGTGTGTTATAGTGTTAACTGTTAGATTAAAATGATTTTTGTAACATTAGTAGCATAATAAGAGCTCCACAGGCTGCATCTGCAGCTGAGCACGACTGGGCTCATGGACGAACGGGCCTGGGGTGTCTGGGCTGCTTGGACCCCCCTGCCATTTCCCCGTTGTCTGTTAGCTCTGGAGCAGCGCCTAAGGATGTGGCTACACCCCCAACAGACATCCTGCCGTCCACCCACGCACACCTGTGTTCCCTCACGTCCGATGCAGCTGTCGTTGACACCAACTCCAGTGCTCCCCCCAGTGACATGGGGTGGGCAAGCTGTACGTATAGTCTGTCAGGAGTGAGATCTCGGACAAACTGATCCCTGGCAGGCTCATTTTAAACTTTGGATGGCATGAACATAAACATGTCTGCACAGTCTGTCTATGTCATACGTCTGTGACTCGCCAGGCTGTGTGATGCGATGTTTGAACTCACAGCACACGGAGTCTCGCAAGTTAAACTCCCCAAAAGTGCCTCTGTAGTGCTTCAACCAGGCTCCCGTAATCACACCTCTCTCCTGGGCTCAGTAACTAAGAAGCTAGCTACAAAACTTTCTCACTCTCTGTCCAAAAAGACGCATCAACTAATGAGGTCAAACTGCGGTAGAAATGTTGCTAAACACTGGTCCGCGAGGTTCCCGTTCACATGCACGAGCAGTCTACGCAATTTTACTTCTACTTTTTCGGGGCTAAGCATAGATCATCTAATCAGAACAACAAAACAAGTAATCTTATTTTCAACAGCACAGGGAAAGGTACTTTTTAAATAAACACTCAAAATCAACCTTAGCACACATCACGGCGCATTAAAATGATGGCAGGATGGGGTCAAAGCACGTGAACGAACAATCACTTCCTGGGTGAGTGACTCAAAACTAACTACCGTCTTCGACCAGCAAAACTAGACAAGCAAACAATACAAAACAAACTAAACAAAATATGCACCAAGGAATGAGCGAGAATGCGGGTCACCACAGGAAGATCTTTAAGAAGCTGAGCAGGCTGGTGTTCCTGACTGTAGCACTTCTGTGTAGGTAAGCATACGCATAGCTACACACCGTGATGGCGGTCGAGTAAACTTGTCACCTCCATGTAAATATGAAAGCTATCGGAGCATCTCCAGTACTCACTGGTCACAACGCCTGGTCAGACACCCTGTACATTAATTCCTGTATTCATATTTATCCGTATTTATCTTTTAGAAGGTAACTTGGGGTGAATTTAAAGTAAAAAGTGCCATAAAAGTTGTTCATATTAACTGAAGCTCTGTTCTCTAGTCAAGTTGCCGGTCTCTCTTCCTTCCTCTCTTCTTAGCCGCCTTCTACTGCCTTAGAAAATCCGCCGAAACAAAATAAGTCCCACTGGGCTACATATTCAAATTCATTCATATTTAACTGTGAACACATTGGGTAAAGCACTGCATCGGCCTAAGTTTCATAACTACTGCATTGACTAATCACAGCACTTGACGGCTCTGCAGAGACCTTAGAGGGGCAGGTGCTCAGATTTAAAAAGGGCCACATGGATCAAGATGTTATAATCAGGGGCAATTGTAGGGACTCTAGGGGCCAGGCGCGTAGCCAGTAATGGGCCAGGGCGGCACTGGCCCGCACCCATTACTCCCTGGCCCACCCAGGCAAGTTTGATCAAAATACATTTTTAGTTTATTTTTATTATTCAAATGTATTAAAAAATATATATTCATATAAACCTGATTTATTTATTCATTGCCGAATATTGCAAAATAAAGGTGTGTTTTTGCAGTTTGTTTGTCTATTATTTTTTCTACTCTCTAAGGTTTAATTATTATCTAAGTAATATTTTTTCTAGGAAAAAATATAGGCCCGCTCACTTTTTCAATGGCCCGCCCAAAATACAATTTCTGCCTACGCCACTGCTGGGGGCCCCAGGCAAAATACTCCATGGGGCCTCTAACTCCCCCTCCCCAGGCATGGTAACATTTATTACCTTCATGTTACTGCGGA